TCAATGTTTCTTGTTGGGGAATCTCTTTTTTAAATGTCTCTTGTTGTGGTTATCTTTGTAGATCTCGAGTTCACAGAAGAGTTTTCGCGTGGGGGGGAGGTCATCTTGGCCACTTCTCAGAGGTCTAGGGGTTGGAGTTTGGGGACCGGTGGGGGTGGCTGCCTGGCGGTTAGGGCCGTGGATGGGGTGGTGAGTTGTTGGGGTCAGTTGGCGGGTGAGAGGGTGTTGGGGGTCAGTTGGCGGGTGAGAGGGGTTGGGGTCTGTTGACGGGTGAGAGGGGTTGGGGTTGGTAGAGGAGTGAAAAGGTTTTGGGGTCGTTGGCCAGTTGAAAGGGGTAGGAGTTGGTGAAAGGGCGCGTGGGTTGGGGGTCGTCGGGTGAGGGGGTTGGTTGTTGGAGTCGGTGAGTGGGCGGGTTGGAGAGACGGTCGACATGAGGGGTTTGAATTGCCTCTTGACCTTAGAAGGAACTCTCTCTGGGCCAAGCAAGCTGTCGAGGCGAGTGCTGTGAATCTATTTTTAAGATGGGAGAATTTCCTCTCAGAATCACCTTCATAATACCGTTTATTATCATCTGTAATCATCAGTGCGTTCACAACTGTCGTTATTAAAATCATCATAACTACTGTAAGAATATTCATTTATTCATTCGACATTCATATTTTACATATTTATCATCATTATCTTTAACTTAAATGACTTTCCAACACAATATTCCTTTTCACAACATCATCTGGAAAACGCAAAACAAGAAGAATGCCATTTAATAGTAAACAAAGGCTTTAGCCTCGAAATGCATCGAACTGTACAAACCCTAAAATTATAATCGACAAAAGACATCCAATTGTCAGTCGTGCAAAACGGAAAAAAAAAAATTATATTTAGGCCAGTTAATGACATTTTGTTTTCAAGTAGACAAAGAATAATTTTCCGCGTCATTATAGCTCTGCTTATGTTCTTAATTGTGTGAACTAACGAGGTTTTAATTGTTCCTCGTTTTAGCTTTTATTAAATATTTCTTCCCCTCCCCCCCGCCCTTCTGAGGCTTAATCATCAACATGGGACTTATATAGGGGTAATTAACATTTCATCTTTAATTGCTTCAGCAGTAATAGGCAGCATTATCTTTATGTTAATTTTAAGCTTATGTTAAAAAAAAATCTCATTAGAGTTATCACTGCTGTCAACATAATTTCCTTAATTATGATTATTGTTCTTTTATATTATCACTGCTCATCAATATAATTCTTTTTCTATAGTGAACTCATTAAATATCATTATTGTAATTATGAATTGGCGCTTTTCTTTCATTCTCATTCTTTCTCTATTTTATTGTTTCAGGCTTTTATTTATTTTGATTTTATATTCATTTTTCGTACTCAGATTATCAACATTGTTTCAGCTTCCTCATAAGGTTCATTTTGGCGTTTTTCCCTTTTATTTTTCTTGCTTTAATTATTTGTTTCCTATTGTTCCATCTTCTCACACCCGACCCCTCTCTCTCTCCCCCCCCTGTCATCCTGTCCCTGCCCCTGTCCCTTTCCCTTTCCTTTTCCCTCTGCCTCTGCCTCTCTCCCTTCCCCTCATCCTCTCTTTTTCCCTCCCCCTCCCTCATAACCTTTCCTTCTCCCTTTTCCTAACCCTTTACCTCTCCTTCTTCCTCACCTTCTCCTTTTCCCTTTCCCTTTCCCTTTCCCTCTTCCTCTCCTCCCCTCACCCTCTCCCTCTTCCTTCCCCTCACCCTCACCATCTCCCTTCCCCTCACCCTCATCCTCTCCCTCTCCTTCTCCCTTCCCCTCACCCTCTCCTTCTCCCTTCCCCTCTCCCTCTCCCTCTCCCTTCCCCTCTCCCTCTCCTTCTCCCTTCCCCTCACCCTCATCCTCTCACTCTCCCTTCCCCTCTCCTTCTCCCTTCCCCTCACCCTCTCCCTTCCCCTCACCCTCATCCTCTCCTTCTCCCTTCCCCTCTCCCTCTCCTTCTCCCTTCCCCTCTCCCTCTCCTTCTCTCTTCCCCTCTCCCTCTCCCTATCCCTTCCCCTCACCCTCTCCCTCTCCCTTCCCCTCACCCTCTCCCTATCCCTTCCCCTCACCCTCTCCCTATCCCTTCCCCTCACCCTCTCCTTCTCCCTTCCCCTCTCCCTCTCCTCCCTTCCCCTCACCCTCTCCCTATCCCTTCCCATCACTCTCTCCCTCTCCCTCTCCTTCCCCCTTCCCCTCACCCTCACCCTATCCCTCTCCCTCTCCCGCACCTTCTCCCTGATCTCTTCCCAAGCTCCGCCAGATTATGATAATGAAGATAATTGACATGATGAATATGCTCAATAATGCAAGGGGGTTGAGGGCGGTAGGACGGAGTGGGGAGGAGGGAGAGAGGCAGGGAGAGGGAGGAAAAAGGAGTAGGAGGGATAAAAGACAGGGGGAAGGAAAGGGAGAAAGAAAATGGTAGGGAAGAGAAAGGAGAGGAAGGTCGGCGCCGTTTTTTTTTACGCGGTTACTTTGGTGATTATTCAGTGGATTAAAGAGGCGACGAAGTGACTATGTGATCATCTACTAAAGGGGGTGATGACGTGTGGGCAACACTCACCTGCTCGCGTTGGTTGCCGGTTCCACAAGGTGGGTTTGAAAGGGGGGGAGGGGGGTTAAAGGGGGAGGGGGTGAAGGGGAAAGGGAGGAGGAGAAAACGGGGGAAGGGATGGAATGAAAGAGAGAGGAGAGGGAGGTAATGGAAGGTGGGTGTGGGAGAGACCGAAGGAAAGGGGGAAAGTGGGAGGGCCTTAATTGAGAGGATGAGTGGGAAAGATCTTAGGGAAGGGGTGGGGGGGGGGAGAGGGCCTAAGGGAAGGGAGGTGTAGGAGGCCCTAAGGGAAGGGGGAGGGATCTCAGGGAAGGGGGGGAATGGGAGGGACTTCAGAGAAGCGGGAAGGGGGGGGGGGGGTAGAGTGATTTAAAAGGTCGGAAGAAAAGGGTTTCCAGAGCGGTGGACTTAGGGTTAGGAAGTGAAGAAAAATTAGGGTATTCACCGCTCCCCCCCCCAAAAAAAAAGTAATAATAAAGGATAAGGAAAAGAAATTAGAAAGAATTAAAAGAGATTTACATTTTTTGAGCATTAAGCGAATATTACAAGAGGAAAGGTAATGATGTTCATTTATATTTAGCAGGGACGAATTAATAATATCTATTATAAAAGTTTAAAAGTTGTCGTTTATACACAATGTAAATGTATACAAAAGTATATACTTAGTGTGTCATATGATAGTAACTGTAGCCAGCAAGGTTACATAAAATGCAAAGGTGTTAATGATGCAACTATACATATGTAGTATAAAAGTATATAACATATGCTGCTAGGGTACAGTTCCGGTGCAGTGATGTCCATATTTCATTGTTACACTCAAACATGATGTCCAGTAGTATTACAATTGCAAAAATGTCAAAAAGTAGTGGTATAATACATTTTTAAAAAGTACAGGATGCTTCAAAATTACAATTTTATATCAATCACTACGAAAAGGTCAGACCTTAAATGCAACAATTACAACCAGTTTAAAGTATAACGAAGATTGACTAGAACAAGATGAAACTCAATTACACAAAAAGAACATGAAAAATCCTGTGATCTTTTTATAGAAACAATCTGAAACTTCCTTGAGGACTTGGGACAATAAAAGTCAAGATGAGACGAATGATGATGGTAGGACTAAATTAACTGGAAAAAAAATAAAGTCCTGCAACGTAGGAGCGCCAGACACAAGCAACAATAGACGTCCAAGTTCAAGTCTTACGAAATCACAGAACGAGTTGAACATTTGCCTTTTGATGGATACGTTTTAGTCACGGTTCCTGTCTTTTTTTTCCATGGATTTTCTTTTCTTTTCTTTTCTTTTTTTAGATGAGAGCAACAAGCTATCACTCAGCAGCGACGTGGGCAATGTGAAGCGGCCAAGAGTTACAGGGAAATTATTTTTAGTAGGGTGTGGAATGGAAGAGGCAGAGCTTACGGGGAGGCGTAGGTTATCATCATCCATTAGGAGAAGGTGAGGGACACGCGCACACACACACACACGCACGCGCACATACATACATACATACATGCATACATACATACATACATACATACATACATACATACATACATACATACACACACACACACACGTGTGTGTGTGTGTGTGTGTGTGTGTGTGTGTGTGTGTGTGTGTGTGTGTGTGTGTGTGTGTGTGTGTGTGTGTGTGCGCGCAACCCCAAGCCAGTGTTTCCCCGCCCTCGGCTTGAAAATAAAGAAAGCGAAATGTATTCCGTGCAATCTAGCGAGACCAGCAAGTTCGCATGACGATTCTAATTATGATAGAGTGACACACCCGCACGTAATGGCTCTATGTTATCCCGTAAATGCCGTAAAGTGAGGATAATTTCAGCTCCCTCGGAAGGCGGAAGGAGCGCCCGCCCTCACGCACGCTGTAATTAACAAAGAAATGGAGGAGGTGCGGAAGGAGGTCGGGGGGGAAGGGGGGAGGGGATGGGAGGGGGTGGAGGAGAAGATGGCTGGAGTTGGAAGGGGGGGGAGGGAGAAGAAGAGAGGAGAGCGGGTGAAGAACGAGCAGGATGTAGATGTGTGAGGAGGGAGGGGGGGTGTCCAATTAAATGTAGCCATGAAAGAGTAAAGGGCCGAGAAACTAAGACCAAAGTATGCTTATATCTGATTCAGATAAAATAATATTTTTTTTTTATCGTCAACAAATGTCACCCGGGGAAATGGAGCTTTACGTATATAGAAACTGATACAATTTCTTTTCCTCTATCTCCCTCTATAGCTACTTTCCTTATCTACAGCATTGTTATATCAGCAGCAACGATAGCTTTTATGAAGGTTTTATTGCTACTGACAACATCTCCTGCTGCACAACTAGCACCTCCATTGCTATTCTTTACGTTGACGATGTCCTTGCAAATACTGCTAATTCTGCTGGTGATACTACTGATAGTAAAATGTTTTCCTACTTCTGCTAATTACGCTGCTCCTATCCGCTCTCTTGCTTTGAATACTGATATTTTCCAACTCTACGTGTGACATAACACCAACAAATACGAAGTCTGAAAAATGTAAGGGATAAAAAAAAACTCTTGTAGAGGAGCCACTCGGCGAAGCTACTGCTGGAGGCGATGTTGTGGCCTCGGCACGACGCAAGACAATTAATCAAAGGTGTTATCCCAAACTCTCAAGTGATTTAGGTCGCCACCCCCCCTTCCCCTTCACACGCCCCGAGCCAGCCTTCTCCTCCCTTGCTGGCTACAGTGATGCTAGCACCACAGTGTCTGTGTATACGTGTATGTATGTTGTGTGTACATCTCTGTGGATCGCTGTGTACATGAGTACCCCCGAGTCATCAAGTCGTGGGCTCCGCTGTTCTTAGGAAGCTCCATACATCACTCCACCCA